TGGGCACAATTTCCCCTATATAGTTGGAGTATTTGTATAACATCCCTCAACTGTGCTGACAGCAGCCACACAGCCAGATCCCTAATTTCAGGCCTTTCTGTAATTATTGTCATTAGCAACATCCATCCAGAACCATCTCCAGAAGAAAGTATTTTATCTGAGATCCTTCCTAGACTTCCTAAGAACAGACTACAGAAAGATAAGCATCCAGACTATCTGTTATTTCCTGAGAGAAAGTAAAAATTTATAATGAGACAATCACCTAGGCTAGGCGGATGTGCTAATTAAGATTAACCCTCCTTCTTCCAGAAGTCTTTAGTTCTAGATCTCACTTTAACAATTAACTCAGAACTAAAGGGCTTTTTCACACCTGGTACATGAAGCTGTGGTGCAGGTTGCCTAGTTACCTAGCTACGCTTCCCCGACCCTGCCAGAAAAGGGTGCAGCTTGGACAGATTTTGGCACCAAAGGGGGGGAAAAGGCAGTTTTATTCTCACTCATGACTTAGTGACTTATAGAATCCAACATCTTACTTAACCACTTCTAAGAATATAGTTTGAGCACATAAATTCCCTTTTTAGATCTATTAACTGAATTTAGCCCCTAGATTCATTCCCGACTAGTCACTTCCATTTAGGGTTGTTAATAATAGCTGACAATTAGTGCTTTGTGTGGATCTTATCACCCCTCCTTTTGACCCTGAAACAATTCAAACCTAGTGACCTTGCCTTAGCCAGAGTATTGCTGATTGCATGGGTATATAACTGAAAACCTCAGAGACTTGAAGGAGAATAAAGATGGGAAAGAATTAAGACAGGAAGAACTATGTGAGAAAGAACTAAGATGGGGAGAACTAAAATGGGAGAATTAAGATAGAACCTAGAGAGAAGACGGGCGGTGGTGGCGCATGCCTTTAATCCCAGCACTCGGGAGGCAGAGGCAGGCGGATCTCTGTGAGTTCGAGGCCAGCCTGGGCTACCAAGTGAGTTCCAGGAAAGGCGCAAAGCTACACAAGAGAAACCCTGTCTCAACTCCCCCCCCCAAAAAAAAAGAACCTAGAGAGAACAGCAGAAAAATGTAAAGAGAATCAGGCAAAAAAGGAGCTCAGTATGAGAGCAGAAAGGAAGCTGTGTAGAGAGAGAACTGACTCAGAAGAATAAAGTGAATGGACTAAAGAGTTTTGTGTACATAGATTCATTCGAGAATCCCTCAAATTAACTCGCCATAGGTAGCACCTCTTCTGGAGTTCTGGGAAAAGACTATAGAAGGGCTGGACTGCAATAGTCTTTGTTACCTTAACTAAGACAGAACTCATGAATTCCTTCTTTGGGGCTGTTATTAATGCTGCTGTTCAAATCATTCATGTGCAACTTTTAATATGTATGCAAATTTTTTCATTTAAATAAATGAAATTGGTAGCTTAAAACATTACTGTAAATTCAACATTTTGAAGAACTTCTAGCCTGTCTTCAAAAGTAAAGTACATTATTTACATTCCCAACTTAAGTGTATGATTGTCTCAGATTCCCCAAATCTTTGCTAATACTTCATTATAACTTTCATTATTTTACTTACCCCAGTAAGTAAGTATAAAGTGATGGTCATTATAGGTTAGCTACTAAAAAGCCTGAGCTATTGGCTGAGCATTTATAAGTAATCTTAAGTCTCTGTGTTTATTATTTGGGAGTGAGCAGTCGGGACAGGAAAACTTTGCCTATATATGGAAACTCTGCCTCTTTTCAATTGAACAATGGACCATCAACAGAAACAGAAATTTCACAGTAGCTTTGATTTGCCATTTGTGTATAATCTTTTGATACATATTCAGAACACTCACCAATTTTAATTGGGCTATTTGCCAACTTACTACTGAATTGTAAGATTCCTTTATACATTCTAGATACGTATCCCTTTTAAAATATATAATCTGTAATTATCTTCTCCCATTCACTAAGTTGTCTTTTCACTTTGTTGATAGTGTTCTTTGTAGAACAAAAGTTTAGTTAGTTTTTTTTCTTTGCATATGTATATATGTGCTTGTGTATGGGTGCAAATACATGTGGTGCATGTGCTCACATGCTTATGAAGGCTAGAAGTCAATGTCAGGTGTTCTACTCAATTAATCTCTACCTTATGCTTTGAAACAGGGTCTCTTACTGAACCTAGAACTCACCAACTAAGCTATCCTAGCCTATTATATTACCAAGCTCCATGCATCTATCTGTCTCTTGATTCACCGAGATTACAAGCATGCATGGCCCCTCTGGGCTTTTTAACATGGATGCCTGGGATTAAATTTAAGTCTTCATGATTGTGTGATTAGCACTTAATCAGCCAGGCCATCTTTGCTGCCCAAGAAATTAAGTTTTGTTAAATCCAATTATTATTGATATTTAAAAATTTGTGTTTTTAGTGTCAAGTTTAAGAGATTATTACCAAGGAAATGATGACAAGCATTTATGCCTGTTTTTGTATTTCTTATATATTTTGTTCTTACTTTTAATTATGTTCACTTCTACTTAATTTTTATATATAGTGTGAAATATATGTTCAATTCCATGCTTTGGAGAGTCATCAGCCAGGTACTCCAATAGTTATTTATTGAAATAACTGTGTTTCCCTCCATGAAATTATTTTGCCATGCCATCAACTGACTGTACATGTGTGTTGAAGATGAGGGATTCATGAATCTTAGCTGTAGTTAGTTGGTCCAGAGAAAGAATGGCGTACTGGGACAATTTTCAGTGCTCTACTGTCAATATCTGGCCACAGGGCTAAGTTTAATAACAATAAAGTGGCTGCTGAGAATGAGAGTCACTTTTAAATAAAAAACTATCACAGGCCCTTATGGAATTTTGCTTTTAAAAATAGCAGAAGCACGTCTGCTAATCCAGCAGAATGTTCTGTGCTCTACGGAGGCAGGCCTGTCAGCATTCCACTAAAGCCTGTCTTCAACAAAACTGCACATTCTACTAAGAACCCAGGAGCTAAACAGGCATCCTCCCCTTCATACCACCTCTAGGGAATAAAAGGCTTCTTAAAAATTAAAATCTCAATTCTAAGTTCCTTTTTCTCCCACTTTTCACTGGGGAGGATATTCTTACAGCAGCACAACTATTATTTTGACTATTTGTAGCTTTATACTTCTCAACTTGAAGTTGAAAACCTTGTTTTTCAACTCTCTTGATTATTGTGGTTTCCTTGAATTTCCATGAAAATTTTAAGCCCTTTTTAAAATATTTTCCAAATATGTAGATCAACTCAGAGACATTGCTGGCTTACCAACATGAAAACTTCTTCTAATCCACATACACAGTATGTCTTTCCTTTTGTATGTTGGCCTGCATTGCTTTCAATAATGTTTTGCAGATTTCTGAATAACTTTGGTCAATTTTGTTCATGGTTTCACAGAACTAACATACTTAATTGATTTTTCATTCTCTGTTTAATTCATTTCCTTTTATCTTTGTTATTTCCCATATTATTTTTGTTTTAAGATTAATTTTTCCTTGTTTTTCTTGCTTTAAAGTAAAAAGTGAAGATGTTACTTTATGAGAGCATTCTTTATTAATACAGGCTTACTTCATCTCATTTTTGTTTATGTAATGAACTTTTTAATTTTCTTGACTGTGGTTTTAAATGGTCTCTTTAACTTCCACCCACATGTTTATGAATTTTATAAACTACTTTCTGATACTCATTTATAATTTTATTGTAGTTAGAGAATTTTTTTGTTTGTTTGTTTGTTTGTTTTTTCGAGACAGGGTCTCTCTATGTAGTTTTGGTGCCTGTCCTTGATCTCGCTCTGTAGACAAGTGGCTGGCCTCCAACTCACAGAGATCCGCCTGGCTCTGCCTCCCAAGTGCTGGGATTAAAGGCATGTGCCACCATCGCCTGGCGAGAATATATTTTGTATGATCACAATTCTTCAATTTAATGGGACTTGTTTTATGGCTCAGCATGTGGTCTATTCTTTGGAATGTTTTGTGTGGATCTGAGAAAGGTACATATTCTGTCATTCTTACGTGGAGTAGTCTATACATGCATATTATGTCTAGTTGATTTATTGTGTTCAAAATTTATATTGCCTTGTTGATCTTCTGCCTATTGTGAATGTTGTCTTGAGATTCTTCACAGAAATTTTAGATTCTTGACTCCCTCATACTTTTATATACTTCTTATTCATGTCCTAATCTTTCTCTGAGATTTTTAAATCCCCCAAATAAGATTCTGCTCCTACCACAATGAAAAGGAAGTGTAGCTTTTTTTTTTCAATGTAATTCAGTCTTGTAGGTGAAAGTAAGAAAAGTCCTAAACTCATGTTACAGAGAATCTAATTATTTCTTTAAGCCATCCTAGACTCTTCAATTCAAACACTAGTTGAATAATTGGTTTATATGGCTAGGAACCTAGAATCCAAAGTGTAGGAGGGAGAAAAAATGTTACCTTGACTACAGTGTTCCTTGTCAAAATATTGCCAGCAAGAAATCAGGTATTCTGCACAGGTTAATCTGCCCTTTTCTTCCTAAAGTGAATTTGTGAATGCTTCATTGATCAGAACGAGGTCTAATCACACATAAGGAAGGAACTAGAAGAATTGTTATTATTCTCATATAACCATTAAATATTAACTTCATCTGTGCCCCATGATAGAGGAATGTTTAAAAGATTTTGTCTGTCAAAAGAGAAACCCCTCTACATATATTAAGTAACAACTTGTTCTACCTGTATTGTAGCTAGAGTTTTCCTGCCTTGCCCACAGTCAGGACAAATCTTTGTCACCCGCCAGTCCCACAGCTGCTCAGACCCAACCAAGTAAACACAGAGACTTATATTTCATACAAACTGTATGGCCGTGGCAGGCTTCTTGCTAACTGTTCTTATAGCTTAAATTAATACATTTCCATAAGTCTATACCTTGCCATGTGGCTGGTGGCTTACTGGCGTCTTCACATGCTGCTGGTCATGGCGGCGGCTGCAGTGTCTCCCCGCCTCAGCCTTCTGCTTCCCAGAATTCTCTTCTCTCCTTGTCTCACCTACTTCCTGCCTGGCCACTGGCCAACAGTGTTTTATTTATTGACCAATTAGAGCAATTTGACATACAGACCGTCCCACAGCACTGTATCCCTATATTTTTGGTCTTTGTTTACCCAGAATGCAAATTACTTATTAACATCAAAGTTTATGATAGCATGAATTCACTCAATATGTATCAGAGTAGTAATGCTACTAATAAACAAAATTGAGTAAAAACATAGTCTCTTGGGACATGGAACTCTTGGTTATTTGACAAACAACATTAACAAATGATATTGGCAATATTGAAACCTGGTGTCCAGATAGCACATGTTGTAGTCAAATAATATCACCTGAGTTGTGAGCCCAGAATTACACATGGCTCACCATCTTGTCCTAAGAGTTTCTATGACAATCCACAACCAAATGAAACTAGAATGATAGGAACTGGGTCTTAAGTGCTGTTTAGAATATCTGGCCAGCTCCAGTCTGAAAACCGTGGGGCAAGGCATCCGAAATAGCCACAACATCAATGCAAGACAATCTAATTTTTCTAGAGAAAACTGGCATCATCTCTCCCACATCATATGAATTTTTATTATTCTATTGTTTTGAAATAAATGAGGATAAACAGAATGGTCAAAAATTTCTTTTGAGTTAAGAATATCATGAAAAAATTACTGTTAATCACAATTAAGAGTCACTCTTACCTGAGAAGATAAGTAGTTTCTAAATTACCTATTTTAGTTTTTCCCTTCAGTCTTATTAAAGAAACATACCTGGTTTTATTAGGCCTTATGAACAACTGAAGAGATCTTCAAGAACTTTTCCAGCCTTGTGAGCTCCAAGCTAGTATCTGGTAGGAAAAGGTTTTTCTAGATTCTCATCAGTAGAACAAAGTTTCCACTACTTCTCAGTGTACACTTCAACATTATCCATCACGATGTGCAATTCTGCCTACTCGTGACCACTTCTTCCCTAGAAGCATTCCTAGGGATAGAAAATGAGCAAAGAGATCAACTAACTTGCTGTGTTACATCTGGGGAGACATTATTTCTTACGATAAGAATTGATTAACGATTTACTGTGTTTCTGACTCTGGTAAACAAGACCAAAAAGGCCTTGTTTCATTATTCTAAAAGCCAAATCCTTCATGTAATGCTGGGTATAACAACAGAAGAATTAAAATGGGGGCTTTACAATGTCAAGGATGTGGAACATACTTTGAATAAGGAAACATTTTAAGTAGAGACATGAATAAAGACAAAAGAGATGTGTTTGTTGATGAGAGGAAACGGTTCTAGACAGGAAATAAGGTAGCAGCAATTACAACATCCTGCACTTAGTTCTTGCCAGTGTTCTAGACTCTAACGTGACTCCTATTCCTGACAGCTCATCATACTGTGAGAACCTGCAAAGCCTCGGGTTGATTGGGAAGCACCTCAATGACTTAGCAGAGATGCAGCCTCACATTAAGATAAGGAGAGTCTTCTACCTGTAAAGCAAGGTTCTCACACTGACAGGTGACAGTCAGAATGAAAGACCAAACTGGATGTTCTGCTTTGTTAATTACTTTTGGAAAAGATTGGGTGTCAACAGTTACAAAATTCTTAGGACACCTGTGGTCTCTGAGTGGTGAGGCCAAAGGTGAATCCTACTTTGTTCCTTGTGTATCCTACACATTTGTATTTTTATTGGACACACTTTTAGTAATCAAGAAAATGTAAAGGGCATTTTCATTCCACCCTTAAAAAGAGGTTAGAAAACAAAACTGCATATGCTCATTCTGTTCATATATTTCCATATAAAACCAAGAAACATGGATTTTGTAAATTTTTATCATCTCTCTTCTTCCTCCTTCCCTCCCTCCATCTCTCCTTTCCTTCCACTTAGTTCTCATCTAAAGTACAATATATATTGTCCATCATTCTGGGAATTTAACTATCTGTCAGCCATGGCCCCTGAATACTCTAAGATTAGAGTCTAGAAAACCAGAATGGTTCATAAAGAGGAAATCCCAGGTGGATAGGTATTAAATGCTTGTGCAGTGAAACTTTGCCAAGTCAAGAGATGCATATTTGTTCAATAAATCAGTGTGTGAACAAGTGAACAAAAAGATGAACTGATAGGCTTTTAAGATTTTTAACAGCGATTCTTCCCATAGTGAGACAATTACACTTTCCTTCTGATTCCCATGATCTGTTCCTATGTTAGTATGAGTGAGGCAGAGCAAGAATTTGGCTCAATCTGTCAATCAAAAAGCTTTATAAGAAAATCAATTAGGTAGCTTGATATCATTTCTGTACTTTCGGGGGGGGGGGAGGAAAGAAGCTGCCTGATGATATTTTTAATTGAATTCAAAAGCTATTACCTATGAAGACCTTTAATTTATTTTTACCCAGTCAATCAAAACAATTTAAGCAAAGCAGAATCTGTTTCCTTCTAAGTTGCACCTGAGCTGAGAGCTGTCACACCAGTTTCCACCTGGTGTGGGTTGTAGGACCGGAATGATAAACACCAATAAAAGATACCCTTTTCTAGAATGCCAGCAGGTCTGCTTTAATTGACCTTGTGACACTAGGAAATAATCTAAGAAAGTCAATTCTGTTGTTAATTACCCACCTAAAAGGCTAGAGTGGAAATTATAGGAAAAAAACAGTCTTCTCAATAATTCCCATTATCCCTATCCTGAATCTCCCATTACCCAGGAAAGGGTGAACACTGAAGTTTCAGAGGATCCCAATTTTCATTCAAATAGAGAAAAAGAGGGTTTGCCTCTCCTAAAGGAATGGACTTAGCAAGTCCATGCTTTACCTTACCCCACAGAGTAACTTAATAGATAGACAGTATAGTAGTGGGTGAATGTTACAGGGAAGGCTTCCAGTCTGAAGTAGTAGGAAATACAAATCCCAAACTGATGTCATTATGGTCAGCCACACTGCAATTAGGGTCTACTGATTCATCTATTCTGTGGTGGTTTAAATGAAAATGGCCCCCATAGGCTCTAGGGAGTGGCACTATTAGGAGGTGTGGCCATGTTGGAGTAGGTGTGACCTTGTTGGAAGAAGTATGTCACTAGGGGTGGGTTTTGAAGTTTCAGATGCTCAAGTTAGACCCAGTGTCACTCTCTGCTGTAGAACTTCCAGATGTAGAGCTCTCAGCTACCTCTCCAGCACTATGTCTGCCTATGTGCCACCATGCTTCCCACCATGACAATAATGGACTAAACCTCTGAAACTGGAAGCCAGCCCCAATTAAATGTTTTCCTTTATAAGAGTTGCTGTGGTCATGGTGACTCTTTACAGCAAAAGAAACCCTTACAAAGACACATTCATTAATTAATTTGTTCATCACTGATAGCCTTTATAAAAATATATATATATTCTAATGCATATGGAAGGGTTATATGGAAAACAAGTAAACAAGTAGATGGGTAACAAAAGATCATTGTGCCTTGAATAAAGTTCCCAAGGTAGTTTGATAAAGACTCTCCTAATAAGCCTTATTTAATTGGGGAGTTTAAGGAAGGCCCCTCAAAGCATCCTTCCAATTTAAGGGTTTAGGAGCTGTAATGTTCTCTCTGATCTTTTAAAACTGAGCATAGTTATTGTCTTACCATAACAGACAGTGTAGGTTCTCCACAACTAGAGGCTTCTTTAGACAACTAATGATGAGTCTGTGGGAAAAAAAGGGAAGAACAAGACAGTCTCAAACACAGTGGCTGAGATGAGCTGACACAGAATTCTGAGAAGACTCACTTCCATGTTAGTGACCTGCAGTGGGCAAAGAGTCCTTAGAAGGGCTAAATGCTAATAAGAACAGGGACATTAAAGACATAATTAATTCCAAGATTCTAAGCTTCTATCAAAGACACTATTTAAGGAATGAAAAATTTAAACATAGACAAGAAAAGTACATAATGCATATTCAAAGTACTATATCTGTATATATCTGTATATCTTTCACCCCCCCAACCCCTACTTAGGACAGCTCACCCTAAAGAGTGCTTGAGTTTGTCTTGCAAAAGTGGTATACATTCAATGAAAATTGCTTCAGTTCTGCTACCCATCCCCTGCTAGCAATATATGGTGCAACATTATCTCTCTGTTGGGTAGCAAAGGCCAGACCCAGCTCCCAGTCATTCATAATCTCAAGGAGACATCTAATACCCCACAGTGCTTTCTTTTGCTAAGCTTAAGCTATGATATCTGGTAGATTATATGATAATGTGCATTTTGATTTGCCATATTTTCAAGGTTTACTAGGATATAAAACCTAAAGAAATATATTTTGTGGGTCTGGGCCATAGTTTGATTTGTAGAGTACTTGCCTAGTTTGCATGACACCAAAGATTCAAGCTTCAGCACCATCTGGACTGGGTGTAGCTTGCATGCCTGTGATGCCAGCACTTACAAGGTAGAGGCGGAACTATTCCAAGTTCAAGGTCATCTTTAGCTACATAGGGAGTCCAAGGTCAGCCTGGGAAACACGAGACTCAAAAAATATATAAATAAAAATAAAGTTGAACTAAATCAAATAAAGTTGGTTTTTGAAGTCTGGTTTCCCCATGAAGTAGTAGTCTTAATGTTTCCTCATTATTGATGTATATGTGTCATCAATGAAACCAATTACATGAACTGAGAGAGGACACTTTAGAGATATGGAGCTGATTGGGCAGTCATGGCCCCCAAATATTCACTGAAATAATTCTACCAAACACACTATATCAATCTTGAAATTGAAAGAGGCTTTGCCAATAAATTTGAGGACCAAGTTCACACACAAACCAAAAATGCTTTATGAAGGAGGTCTCTGAGGCCCAATAAATTGTATAGAGACTGAATAGCTTATGTACATATTTCACATTGTGAATCACCATAAAGTAAATGTTTACTTTTATCAGTGTAAATAGTTTGAATGTAATTGGCCTCCATAAACTCATGGGGAGTGGCATTATTAGGGGGTGTGGCTTTATTGGAGTGTCTCTGGCCTTGTTGGAGGAAGTATGTCACTGTGGGGGTGAGCTTTGAGGTCTCATATATGCTCAAGCCATGCCCATTGTCTCAGACAACTTCCTGTTGCCTGTGGGTCAAGATGTAGGACTTTCAGCTCCTTCTCCAACACCATGTCTGCCTGCATACCATCATGTCTCACCATGATGATAATGGACTAAATCTCTGCAAATGTAAGCCATGCCAATGGAATTTTTTTCCTTTATAAGAGCACCATGGCTGTGGAGTCTCTTTGTAGCAATAGAAACCCTAACTAAGCTCATCAGCTTATCTCAACATATTTAAGACAAGGATACTGTCCTAGTTAGCTTTCTATTGCTGTGATAAACAACATGACCAAAAGCAACGTGGAGAGGAAAGTGTTTGTGACCTACAGGTTACAGTCCATCATCCATTGAGGGAAGCCAGGAAGAGCTCAAGTTGGAACATGGAAGCAAAAACTGAAGCAGAAACAGTAGAGGAGGATGGAGGAATACTGTTTACTGGACTGCTTCCACTGGTTGCTCAGCCTACTTGCCTAGAGATGGAAGGTTAATTGAATTCTGTTTAGATTTATAATCATCAATATATATGTATTTTAAATCTTCAAAAGGACAATTTAATCATGAAGCATTTTCCATTCACATTTGAGCTTGATACTATTCCTTCAATGGCATCTTGCAAAATTGGTTTTCTGTTCCATTTTCTTACAGAAAAAATTTCTGGAGATCATACAATGAGCTTGGCTTTGGCACTCTCCTTATCAACAGCTTTAGTCAAATTGCAGGATCAGAATTGTCAGATTGCAGATGGTACAAGTTGTTTTTTAGAAAAGTTGGGCAACATCAGGAATTTGAATTCACTAAGTTTTGGGCAGGCAAAAAATATCAATGAGATTAAAGAAAAAAAACTTTATTGAGGTTGAAACACCAATCAGTTAAGTGTCTATGTTTGTGGAGCCTGGGTATTGGGGTTTAAATCAACAGCAAGCTCAACCAAAACCACAATATTACTGCATCATAAACCAGTTCAATCTTTGTCATCACTGTTGAGAGAATGGTGTAAAGAATAAGAGGCAAGGGAGACACTATGGCCATGTGTGCCTGTAAGTCTGTTATACTATGGCCAAGTGTACCTGTAAGTCTATTATACTATGGCCAAGTGTGCCTATAAGTCTATTAGACAGAGAAGGTCTGAGGATGGTGTCAGAGGCAAGGCTTAGGAAAATTATGTATGAGCATGGTTATATTGGTCTACAAACACATGAGGAAATTCCATAAGATCTCCTGTGGGTTGTTGATTGTCAGCTTCTAGCTGTAGTTTATAAATCTCTAGTTATTCCTGACTTGTACTATCTTAATCAAAAAGAAAATGTATTCACAAAATCTCTGAGTGGTAAGAGGATAAATGTAATTGGAGGCTTTTCTGTCCTGCCAGTCCCATGGCCACTTGTAAATGATCACTCAGAGACTTGATATTAATTACAAACCATTTGGCCTACTGCTCAGGCTTATTACTAACCAGCTATTGCAACTTAAATTAACCCATTTCTATCAATCTATGTATTGACACATGGCCTGTGACTTACCAGTTCTTTCACACCTTGCTTTCTGGGCAGCTCACAGCATCTGCCCTGACTCTGCCCTCCATCTCTGTCTTCAGTTAGCATGTACCGCCTAACCTTACTCTGCCTCGCCATTGGCCAAACAGCTTTATTTTTCAATCAGTGAGAACAGCACATATTCACAGCATACAGAAAGGCATCCCATAGCATTTTTCTCTTTCTATCTAATCAAAAAAGGAAGGTTTTTACTTTAACATAGTAAAAGTTATCAAGCAAGAATTACAGTTACAATACCTAATCTATTTGTATTTGGCAGAATTAAAATACTCTATTATCTATCCTATCTTTGTGAGCCTAAAGTTTTATATACCTTTTATCATAACTAAGGAAAACTATAATTATAACTATCTAGTCTTCAACTCCATCAAAGACCCCCAGAAGGAGATAATATTACCTAAGTAAACAAGAAGTGCATTACAAGCAACTTCCAAAACTCTAGAAATGACAGAGGCATCTGGCTGCCTGGACAGTCACCCAAAGTTCTTCTGTAACATTGGGGCATCCATCTTCAGCCTATAGGCCTAGAGAATGTGGCAGACTTTTTAATGAAGTGGGAAGTTTGAAGGACTGTCCCACCCATATTGGCAATGTTTGTCAGTCGCTTTCCTATGTGTCCTGCAGAATGTCTGGCAGTTTCTTCTGTGAAGCAGGAACCTGAAGGACCATCCCACCTTGTTTTGGCAAAGTTTAGCAATCACTTTTCCATGGGTTCTACGTGTCTAGTTTATACAGCATACTGTCAAGTGGTCTAGGAAAGAGCAGTTTTTTGCCAAATGGCTAACCTTGCCACATTGAAAGCAAACTCCATAAGGAGTTTCTTTGATGCCCATCATCTCTGAAGTAAATAGGTCTTTGAAGTATTTGAAGACCATCTATCTAGAATATATCTCTATATGATCTTGAAAGCACATCTAACATATCTACAAAATTGATCGTCATAAATAACTAACTACTAATCTGTTTCTTGATTATACTATATAGTTTATAATAACAGCTTTCAAAAACTAGACTTCTGCCTTATTTTTTTACTATGTTTTATTTAAATTTTTTTTCATTTTACATACCAACCTTAGTTCTCCCTCCCCTTCTCCCATTCTCCCACCTCCCCCCATCCCAACCCCATATGCACTCTTCAGAGGAGGTAAATATTCCTTTGGCTAGTCAAGAAAGTCTGGCATACCAAATTGAGGCAGTGCCTAGCCCCTCCTCCAAAACCTACATTTAATAACTGATGGAAGCAGATGCAGTGATCCACAGCCAAGCACTGGGCTGAGCTCCTGGAGATCAGTTGAAGAGAGGGAGGAGGGATTATATGAGCAAGGGAGGTCAAGATCATGCTGGGGAAACCCACAGAGACAGTTGACTAGAGCTAGTGGGAGTTCATAGACTATGGAATAATAGCTGGGGTGCCTGCATGGGACCAAACTAGGCCCTCTGAATGTGGGTGAGAGTTGTGTGGCTCCATCTGTTTGTGGAGCCCCTGCCAGTGGAACCAGGACTTATCCCAGGTACATGAAATGGCTTTTTGGAGCCCATTTCTTATGGTGGGATACCTTACCTTATGTTTTTAAATAAGCTATATAAACACAACATCTTAAACAAGTGTAGAAATATACATACAGTATAACAAAATTGACTTTAAATTAGTATCAATAAACTAAAATCCATACCATTGCAAAATATTTTGAGATTAACAGTTATTTTTTGGATTAAAGTAGATTGAATAATCTACCCTCTTTTCATTATAATAATCTACCTTTCCCCCATCATTTCTATATCATATCCCCCTTTCTTTTTAGAAAGATATTGACTATAACCATTAACAATTTATAACCAATTCCTTTAAATGAAAACAAACATTCATAATTTATTTCTGGGAATGTGAGCATAGTTCTCTAGATTACTTCCTGTGGATTGTGGGTGCTGGTAATCTTTGGGGAACCCTGAGAAAGTTTAGGATTATAGTCAAGTTCTGACTGGAGTAGATTAGCCAGAAACCTTGAAACCATTCTTGATGCAGAACTCAGAAGAAATTGTAACAAAGGTGTATTGAAATATTGGTTCATCTGGGCCATCCATTTTTATTGGTGTCTGGTCCCTTTGTTCTGAAAATATATAAACTTTTAAAGGTAACATATATATCTGTATTGAAGAAATATAAGATACTATTCAATATAAGATAATATTAAAAAAATATTGTATACAAGCCAGCCAAAGATAGATTTTTGTTTTATGTTTGAGCAGGTAAAATATACATCATGTGTCTTGTAGTTTCTTTAGGTTTATTTATCTATGTTTGTAGTCAGGATTTCTGATTATCTTTAACTTTGAATGAATCCATAGCTTCTCATTTCCCATGGAAACAAAAGCATAACCTCTACCCCAAAGTGGCATACCTTTTGACTTAAATTTTTGAGTCAAGATATTTTTAAAATGTATAGGTTGGCAAATCAAACTAGTGGGAACTCATGAAATTTAGATCAACAGCTGTGGAGCCTGCATGGGACTGGACTAGGCCTTCTGCATAGCAGGACAGTTGTGTAGCTTGATCTGCTTAAGTGGCCCCCTGGCAGTAGGATCAAAATCCATGAACAGGCTTTTTGGAGCCCACTACCTATGATGGGACACCTTGCACAGCCTTGAGGCACGGGGAGGGGCTTGGACCTACCTCTACTAAATGTACTTCCCCATGGGTGGTCTTCCCTTCATGTAAGAGGGAATGGGGGATGGGTTGGGAGGGGGATACTGGAGGGGCAGAAGGAAGAAAGAGGGGAATCTTTGATTGGTATGTAAAACGAATAAAAAAATTTTCATAATAAAATAATAATAATAATAATAAAAGAAAAACAAATAAATAAAAAGTATGTAGATTTGTTTAATCCAGCAGCTTTTATAATCAAATGTCTCATAACAGTCAAAAATTTTAAAGACAACATAATAATATACATAATCCAGACTTTCTGTGTATTTTCCATCCTCATATGGCTCATTTTCTTTATATTACTTTACTCCCTTTTCTAAGGACTTTATTCTACTATTTTAAATCTATATTTTAACTTAAGGCTGTATATATTTTTCCCTTTTTTCTTTCAAGCCTAAACATATTTTTTAAACACGCTGTGACCCATTTAGAGGCCTTTCTGTCTGAATCTGTTTCTATTCTGTATCTTTAACCCTTTGTCTTTATAAGCAAAAACCTTAACCCGACCTCAGTGCACTGCTGGAGCTTGTACTGATAGCTTAAGCCTGCAGGCAGAGCTGGAAGAAGCCTTTCTGTACTGCGGCCTCTGTGAGAGACTGTGGAAGCCCGCCCATGTGGCTTAGCTCATGGCAGTTGGCAGCCAGCTCCATTTCACAGGCACCTTAGCTGGCATGGGAGACTAGGAAGCCCAGTGTGGCTCCGTTTCTCTCCTTTAGAACATTTTCAAAGCTTTCTCAGGTTTTATGTGGATGTATGGGTTACACGTTGGGCACCATTTGTAATCTGAGGCTTTTCTGTCCCACCTGGTCCCATGGCTGCTTGTAAAAAATCAGAGACTTGATATTAATTGCAAACTGTTTGGCCTATTGCTCAGGCTTATTACTAACTAGCTCTTACAACTTAAATTAACCAATTTCTATTAATCTATGTATTGACACATGGTCTGTGGCTTACTGGTTCTTTCACACCTTGCTTCTTGGGTGGCTTGTAGCATCTGCCCTGACTCTGTCTTTCTTCATTTCCATCTTCAGTTTGAATGTACCACCTAATCTTATTCTGCCTCACCATTGGCCAAACAGCTTTATTTATCAACCAATGAGAGCAACACATATTCAGAGCATACAGAAAGACATCCCAAAGCAGATAAAGTTCAATAAAGATGTTGGGAGTTCTGGAGTAGGAATTTTTGAAACCTAACAGGTCCATGCCTGGGAGCCATTTGTTCCTCACAGTCCTGTCTCCACTAATAACAATGAATGATCAGCAGCTGGCAACATTCTCACAGCTGTATTACTCACACAAGATTCAAAACTACCTTAGAAGGTTTGGAGAGATGGCTTTCATTAAGAAAGCACACTGCTCTTTCAGAGGATCCAAGTTCAGTTCCCAGCATCCACATCAAGAGGCTCAAAGATACCCCTAAGGCCATTATAGGAAAACCCAATGCTTCTAACCTCTAAGGGCACCTGCATTCACTTACACATACCCTCCCATATATGTAATTTAAAATGATTAAGTTTTTAAAAACTACATTAGGGAGTGATTAAGGAATTTGATCCAAATCCTCACCTCCTTCATGGGAGGAAAACACCTGCTTTTTTCATGAAAAACAAAATGGGAATGTTCTCCAAGAGGAACCCATGCATCTCCTCAGTGCTAGGAGAAAACATTACAAGAGTGTATTAGTCAAGACTTGTTTATTGCTGTGACAAGCACCCAAAAAACTCAAGGGAGGGAAATTAATGGTAGTTTTTGCTACTCTGTGAAGCCATGAAGATCACTTACCAATCAGACACACTGTTATCTGAAGGAGTCCAGTAGCAATGATATAGCTATTAGCCTAGGATACTGTAAAGGTGTTCCTGTGTGGAGAAGTAGCTTGTGCTCAGTAAACACAAATCAAGGAACAGCAATAAGGATTCAGACTCCTCCTACGGGGAAATGAGCAGATGAGATGGTAAAAACGAGATGCACTTTAGAGGTTGTCTGTGACATTTTACTAAAGGGGAAACTAAATCATAGATAAATGAATGATTTTTTTCTCCCAAAGGTTCTCAGTCAGTAAATATTTTTTTAAAAGGAGGGACTATGTAATTGTATTTTAATTTCAGAAAAAAAATTAATGAAAAAAAAGAGATGAAGAACCTGGGATCTCTTTGTCCTCACCCCGTCCTTCCCTTTTATAAAACATTGCACCTGTTATTTCAAAGGAGTGCAGTTTGGGATGCAAGTGTAAGTCTTCCTGAAGTCCCCACAGCCACTCTTTATGGTTAATAGTAGTGTGAACACAGAAATGAAGTTTTAGGAGAGGGAGAAGAAGGATGTTGAAGGTAGAGAGGAGACAAGGTAAAAAATGAATTCACACCTAAATGAGTCTAATGTTCTGTTATGAGGTCTAATTTACCAACATGTCCTTGGCTTTTCTGATAATTAAACTTTGGGTGCTGAAAGAAAAGCATGTGTTGGTTGCCAGCAAGCCCTCAGGAAAATGTTACAGAAGAGGCAAATTATTTTTTGTCTACTTAGCAAACTTTTGGACTGAAGAAAAATCAATACTTGACCGGTTCTTGCCAGTGTTGTTTATCTGCTGTGTCTCCTACGATACTCAGATACAACAATTTAAACATGGCCTTAATGAGAAAAATAGCCGATGGCTGATCTGGAACTGCCTTAAATGGCTCTGCAGACGGTGTGATGCTTGCTTAAAATGTTTCTTAAAGGACAAATCCATTATTTGTTGCCACTTTTTCCAAGGTCCATGGAGAAATTAGCTTAATTATGTCTTTGGTTGCCAGAACATAGCACATCTTCCCTTCTTGAGAAAGGGCAAATGCTATTATTCACTGGCTTTGAGAAATTCTTCCATAAATCAAAATATTGAAATGAGTTGGCCGAGCTATTAGACACCTTTCTCTGAAGAACAGAATATATTATATTAGTTCTTCAGTGCAGAGACAGAGGAAAGTAAGAGTTTCATTGGAGACCGTATCAAAATATGGAGGGAAAATGTGGAAACCCCAGTCATTTGGGGATCTCATAAATGTATCTAGGAAGAATAGCCTCCTATCTGCTACCAAGTTCGGTAGAGTGTATAGATTCTTCCACTGCACCCTGGAATGTAATCTCCATTAACAGTCAAGGAAGGGTGTGAATAACCCAGAAGCAGTCATTTAAAAGAAAATCAAAAGAAAAGTAAGAGAGGGCAGTAACTAGTGGAGAAATCTCAATCCAAAGAGTAGAGCACTATTTACCTCCTTTTCTCTGTTTCTAGGTTCTCTCCCTAACATGTATCACATGACCATTCAGTGTTCATGACCCTTCTTCTCAAAGTAGCAGTCCATCCAGCTGCCTGTTCCTTACCTCAGTCAAAAACAGTCTGCCCACCACCCCATAATTTCAGACAAGAAGAGCAAACACGACCCTGGCTTAGCTGACCTGGTTTTCCTTCCGTCGGGTTCAGGTTGGGTAAATTCCCACCTGGGCTGTGAGCAAGCAAGTCCTCTGTCTTTTTAGCATATTCATTGTGAGATATTGGTCATGATCATTTCTTTTATTCCACGTCTTTCTGGGGATGGCAGCTCACATTTGTTTAACTCTGAAAACCATCTGAACGGACACTTGTTTGCAAGGTCTCTCTCAAAACAATGCCATGGTAGCTTTCCAAACACAGGTCTCCATGCCCTATACAATTCAGAGCCTATTAAAACAATCACAAAACTAATAGCTTCACAGGGCCAGGAGCAAGGGAAGGGGCTTGAGACCACGAGCTTTTGTTCTCGGATCTAGAACAGAGATGTTACATCAGTCCACAGAGATCTAAAAGAAAAAGTGCTAATTTTAAAAATCTCATCATTAGCATGCTTTCCCCTCTGTCCTTGTTTATTTCACTGCCATTTATGATCCAGTAAACCGATGTCATGGCCTACTTGCTCATCACACCTCACAGTGTAGAACATGGAGTAGAGTCTTTCTAAGCCAGGTGTTTAAGACATGCTTTCAAGCGTCTTTGCTGACCCAGCCGGGCCGCGGCCCTCCAAGGATGGGCCACTGGCCACCCCCCTCACCAGGAAAGGTCACTCCTCTAGTCTAGAACAAGTAATTTTAAAAAAACCCAGGTTCCCTCACTGAAAAAGACTTTTTAAAAGAATCTCTCCCCTTTCTGCCATACACACTATTTACCTAAAATAAATTTGTGAGTCTCCAGGCTGTTCAGTTCCTCTTAGCTGGTACTGGGTGTCCCCTACAGCACTTTACAATCTGTTTTTCCACTTGGGCAGCAGAATTTGGAAAAGCCCATGGGGCCTGAGCTTAGTCTCATGTCTTGGAAGCTGCCGGAATTAGGTAGGCATGGACTATTTCTAGGGCCACTTCTGGTCTGTGTGACCTTTCCCCTAGAGAGCTCTGTTTCGACAAACAGAAACTAGATGCCTGAGAGTTGATGCATGGAAAGTTATTACTGCACAAGAGTGACCCTTCACCTACTAAACTTCCCCTTGTTGACTGAGCTGCCAGGCAGGGCAGACTGGGCCGCTGGTGTGGGTGCGCTGTGCGGCTGACCTTTCATCTACTTCATCTGGCTCTGGAGAGCAAGGAGGTACTGCTCAGCTTCTGCAAGGCGGGCAGTTTCTTTCTTCTAAAACGATCCTGATGAAAACTGTGGGGGCACCTTTATTTTCAAACAAGAAATTAATTACTGCCTTAGCAGACAGAGCAAAACATTCCTCTTGCCCCAAACAGCATATTTTCAGGAGCCTGGCCATTGAAAGAAGAGGCCGTGGTTCTAGTGTGGAAAGAGCAGAGAGACGAATGGAAAAGGAGAGCCACAACCTTCCCTTACATACCTATGTCCTCTTTGGCCCCAGCACTGGCTGTTGAAATCCAGTCAGACCCCATTTGTCACTCAAGATCATAAACATGTTTTCTGAACTCAGCACTTTGGATCCTCAGGTTTATTTTTGGAGCAAAAGTTCTAAATAAGGGAAGGATTGTGTATCAGTATGAAGGCTATTAAAATTGAAGGTGTTAGTGAAATTATTAGGGTCAGAGCCTGGGCCCTGACAGCCCGAACAAACTAGGGTCCTCCATCCTTCCTCCATAGGGCAATTAAAGAGGCAAGGAATGAAACAGAGAAGATGTATTCAGTTGCCCACCTTGTCAAGAAGTCCAGTCTTCCACTCCCAAGTCTATCCTTGCCGTGTAAATAGAGACTGAGAGGTATCCGTCGTTCAGCAGGTCTGGTCGGGGTGGGTTCCTGTCTTTCACTCAGCTTGTCTTGCCAGCCAGACTGTCCAAGAAGTTGTTAGAACTGCGTGAAATCTCTTCTTGGGAGATACATTCCTTCTATGGCTGGCATCAGATTTCAGGAGAAATTCCAAGTTTCCAGGAGAAATTACAATCCGTTGGGGACCATTGTTTCAATCGCTTGATAGCCAAAAGGAGGGAACAGTATCTCTAGAATATCTTCACTCCTGCCAGGATGGTTACAAAAACAGCCTAGTTTCTCTCAGACAGTATGATCCAAGATTTACATGTAAAAGAGCACTGTAAAACATCAGTATCATTCAAGAAACAAAAACATCGAATACTCAGGAACTGTTTGGTGTGTTTTGAATGTTTTAAATTCAGTTAACAATGTTGCCTGGTTTTTGACCAACAAAGAAAATAGATGTTCTTAGTAATGGGATATCAAAAAGACTGTAAAAAAAAAATGTTTTGCTAATTGAAAAAAAAAATAGCATTTTTCAGCCACAGGCAAATGAAGCAGACATTTCTGTTCCAACTGAGGTTTAGAGAGCTCATGCTTCCTGCTAAGTCTCCCTGTTCTTTTTTGCAAGTGAAGGCAATAGAGTACTAAGTACAACAATCGTGATTTTTACCTCTGGGAGTTGTACTACCGGGTCATCCTGTATTGTAAAAGCAATTGCACAGCGGGCCAGAAAGTGCCACTCACAGCCCACTTGGACCCCTAGATCAGGAGTAAGAAGCATCAAATCTCTCCAAGCCAGTAACTAACTCACCACATCTGGAGTGCTGAGTGTCAAGGCTCAGTTAGACTGAACAGGAAAGGAGGGAAGATCTTTTAGTGTAGGGGTCCCAGCGGAATGGAGGAAGGCTAACCACCATTTGTTAAATGTGTTTAACTCAACTGGTATTTCCAGACAAAGATTTCTGGGTAATATCTCTACTTCTGTCCTTAGACTGCCACGCACTGACTTACTCAGTGCAGTGTTGATAGAATTCCTGTCTTCATTCTGCTCTGAGTTAAGCAAAGAAATCACAAGATTTCCTCTAATGAATTTTTGTCTTCCAAATAACCCGAGCTTGAAGGTGAGAACTTGACTATGTGGAAAAGTCAGAACATTTCCCCAAGACTGCCACAGCCACACAAACCAAGGACAGAACAGGACAAGGCTTGGAGTTCTCTAAGAAAAGAATTGCTGTGCGAATTCTGTGAGTGGTGGGGCTACACACAAGGGAAACAAATATCCTGTCTGATGATACTCTCAGGAGATTTAGGCAATGGCCAGAAAACAGAGGAAAGGAGTAAACCATGGAAGGATGCAGAATTTCAGCCTTCAGTAGCTCAGTACCCAAGAGACAAGGAAGAGCTGGGTACATGCTCCTCAGCTCCTAAGTCTTGCTTCACCGCACGGGGATTAAGCAGAGGATAAAGGCTGCTGGCCCATCTCTATTACCTTATCTACTTTCCAATTCTTTTTTTAAAAAGCTTAAGAGAATGTATTTGCCAAACTCTTCAGGTTCTCTTGCTGTATCTATTATCAATTCAATTTTTGAAATAATATTGATTTGCTTATAATGAAAACCTAACATTTCATTGCTTAACACTCAGAGAAAGCTTTAAGAAGCAAAGAAAAATACCAGTAATTCTACCCCTATGGAAAATCTGGTACATCTTCATAGTATATACATCTGTGCATAAATTTTCAAAGTATTTAATCACATGTATTTTTTGGAAACATTTCTTATAACCCATGACCCTCTCTACCACTTGAGAAGAAGGGGCAGGACTCACAGAAAAAGCCAAAAATACTTAGTTGAAATTTAAGGTCAAACTTTGCTGAGGAATTAAAATACTGATTTGCCTTTTGCTTTCCAGATCCAGAAAACCAAAGTGTGGCTTCTATGACTTCTACATTATCTCCTTTTATGGTTCATCTGAATGGTTGTCCTTTCTCCTCCAATTTGTATTCCCTTTATACAAAGAGGATCGTCTCTAGCTTGAGGGATATATTGTGGGCATCTTTATGTGATTTATTGTAGATTCATGATGCTACAAATGATCTCAAAAGTTTAACTTGAGAACTCATGCTGCCACTAACACACTCAGAAAGCAACAGAAACAGCATTGGCTGCGTGGGGACTGCTGGGACATCGGTGTGGACCAGCCTTGTAACGTTTGTGGCAGCCCAATGTGTTACTCACGTCAGCCAGGCACTGGGGTGGAGGAGTATAAGCTTATGCGTCAGTATGCTTCAGGGGCAACAAAACAAAATACTTCCCAGAGACTAGGGACAAAAGTTCTGGGAAGGTGTGCCAGATATAAATTGGTCTTTTGGATGGGGAATGAGTATATTGGCTCAATAGCTTACTTGAACTAACCATCTAGGACTATATTTGACAAGAAGCATTCTAGTGGATGCTAATATACTAGATGTTCATTACCCTGACATTTATACACTCCTGGGAATACAAATGCAGCCCTGACCAAAAAAGAGGAGTAAAATCTTCTATTAGTAAGGGACTTACAACAGAAACTGGAAGGAAGCAAAATCAGCATTTGCACATTCAATGTTTATGGACTGAAGTTTGCACTCACACTCTATATTTGGGATGATTTAACAAGGGTTGATTTGTCAAGCAGTGAAACATAAGGAGTTAGTTAGAGGTTTTCTCATGGGTAAAAGTAGAGTGTTAGACGCTGAAGGTATGGATGCATAAGAGGGAGGTGGAGACTTAGAAGGAATGAAGGGAAGTGAAAATGAAGGGATTCTCCATAGTACTGAGGTAATGTACTTGAGAAATGGTTGACTTAAATTCTCAAAGTATGGAAGGCAGTATTCACAGACTGGGGTGCTCACACTGGGTTGTTTGGATATGGTGGTATCTTCTGTCAAGGCAAGTTCTAAGGGTATGATCATAGAAATGGATAATTGAGATGGTTTCTGAAGGGACAGTAAGATGAAGAGATTAGTTGGCTAGGGGAGCAAGTGTACCCAGATTAGTCCCAGGAATGTTGTCTTCAACCACAGCATGACAGGAATCATCTGGAAAGGAAGACTGCCGCCCGGCAGTCTACAAACGGCAGCAACATCAGCAGTGTTGCCTGGTGTCTGGGCCTTCCAAGTCCCTGTGATGCTCAAGAATGGATGTGAAGTGTGTGGAGGCAGGGGAAGTAACAGATGAGACGGAAGAGGAGGCCCATGTCACCTTCAGACCAAATGCCCTATATTGAGAAAAGTCATCTCTGCTTGAGGCCATGTGAAATGTGGTGTCCTCAGATTATGGTAAGAAAATGAAGAGAAGATTCAGAGAAGGAACTGAAGGTGTCAGGAGTTTGAAAACAAACTGAGTTCCAGGGAGCAGGAGTATTGGGAAGAAAAGCAAAGAGACTGAGAGACTACGATAGACGAGAGGGTATCCAGAACAAGTGGGAGAAATGAGTATCACACATGGAGGAAATGAGAGGGCAAGGGCTCAGAGGTATTTCTGTTAAATCAGGACTCGAGGCACGGGTTAGGTAGCTCCAGCAGACTGTGATGTTCAGTGAACACAAGCCTAGCCATTCAGCTGTACCATTCTAATCAAAGGCCACTCACTGCTCACTCCTGCGTCTATAGATGCTACAGTGGGAGTTCCTCCACATACAAAAGGTTTAGCAAAGGCCTGGCCACTTATCAACTGTCATACTATAATACAGTAGACTGGTGAAGGGGTAGGAAACGTTGAAAGGTCATTGGGAAGATAATGGTTACTAACCAGAAAGCCAGAAGAACAAGAAGGAAATAGAGCTGAGACTGAAAGAAGTGGTGAGATGGGTGATAGGCTGATGGCGTGGGAAACAAGATGAATGACATGCTTTGAGTAGAACGGGATGGGTTAGGGTCAAAAGAGCTTCACAGATGGATGTCCACGCAAGTTAGGGAGAATGAAGGAAATGGAAGAAGAGGTTGTGGGGAGTCAGGAGACAGGGAACTTCCATCCTCCCTGTTTGGGGGGATGAAGTAATCCTGCCTGAAAACCACAGTTCACAGCCCACTAGTGTTCCCATAACAAAATAGGTATAATTGGACCGTTTATAAAGAACATAAATAGATCTCTCACAGTCTGGAAGGTAAACAGTCCAAGCTTAGGCTGCCAGCAAGTTTGTTTTCTGTTGAAAGCTGCTCTTTGCTCTCAAGGGAATGCCTGGTCCACCAGAGAACCACCGAACAAGCACCGGCCATTAGCAATAGTAGACACCACATGCCTAAAGTTCCTGTTGGTGCATCCGGTAAGATCGCAAGAAAACAAAATGCCTTAGCCCTTGCAAAGAGGGGCCCTTCCTCACATGGTGCAAGAGCCGAAGAACAGCAAGAGCTTACTTACGCTTAAGCTACAGCCTTTATACACATAAATAATCCATTTGAGAGAGCAGAGACTCGAGGCAACAGTTTTCTCTAAGACCCCACATCCTAACATCACCTTGGTGGTTTTCAGCATGGAATTTGGGGAAGCACGTTCACACCATACCAGTGGTGTGTAACATGGCCATGAAATGGGTGACAGAAATGTAGTAGGGGTCAAAGTTACTGGGATCAGATTGTTGGAAAAACTGATTGTATGAACACATGGTTGTATACTTGATCTTTGGAGTTATGTAAGGTTGTGTTTCTAACCCCAGTTCTGCCTTCAAGCACACTGGTATTGAGTCAGCATACCATAGAGTGGGACCATCATCACTCACCACGTTGTCATTTATTTCTAAAAACGATACTCTCCTTACCTACCCAGCCCTCTGAATAATGGCAACATTGTCACAGAGGACTACCAGAACAAGCACTGGCCATTGGCAATAGTAGGTGCCACATGCCTAGTTGCCTCAAGTCATTGTTGGTGCATCCTATAAGATCCTGAGGGAAAAAAGTCCTCGGTTGGTCTGTCTTACACACTGTTCCCTTACGAAGGATTGTTGCTGGCTTTAATGTCCTATGCCCTGAAGTAAGACCATGGAGAATAGAAGGAGGAGTTGTAAAGCAGGAAGTGAAAATTCCTCATGCATTTTGTGGCAATACCTTGATCATTGTGGCTCCTTCTGAGACACTGTGCTCAGTTCAATTCACATTTACGTACACAATATTTTTCTCTTTTTTAAATAAAAGTCAAATTACACTATCTACATATATGTCAATTTGAAATGTGCTTTTTTTTCTCAGCTGATACATGTAGATAGCACGAGTCTGTG